CGTAAAGTAAAACACATATATGTACTACGTATATATAAACATATATTAGGGTGTTCGAAACCCGGTTTTCAAGTTATTTGAAAATGGCAATTTGAAAGAAAACTTGTCCATTTTCAAATTAAGAAAAAAACCGGACAAATCGGGCTTCTTTTACATATCCTCTCTACAGGAACATTTACTGTTAGTAAGAAATAATGACCGCAATTACAAAACGACTGCTAAAAATTGGTAAGGATTTAATTTAGATATAAATAAAGCAAAATGTATTCAAAGTATTTCGGATTACATATAAAATAGAAAATAATGAGTGAGAAATTCACACTTAATGCGCTTCACCGGTCCTTTGTCAGGATAAACTCCAGAATGTATTACCCGTCTTCATATCCACATTCAGACACAGTCGAAAAGAGCTTTACTACGAAGTTCGAATAAATAGCAATGCCAAGGGATACAATAGTTAAGTTTTACATCTGATTTAAGTAATAAGAAGACTTCAGCAGGCAGATCGGATAAACCAAAACCCTATAGCCTGGTACACTGATGAGACATAAGAAAACAAATGTCCACATATGTCGAAACATTCGCCATAGAAAGGCACGCGGACTTTAACATCAAGCGATACTACCGGAATCAGAAGATCGCGATCTTGCCCGGCAGCCAAGCTGTTATCAAGGCCCTCAGATCTGATCAGGTAACATATAAACTGGTAATGGAGTGCCGTGATAAGCTTTTAATGTAAAGTATTCGTAACAACTAAAAATATCAGTGTGGTTGTTCACGCTTGCAAGGTTAACTGGTTATCGGGTTAAAAATAAATTTTCTATAGTGTATTTTGTTGGTGTATAACAATAAAATACACTACAGAAAAATTATTTTTAACCAGATATTTTATTCAGCATATTGTATTTAATTGTGGATATAATTTATAAAAACTCAAAGAAAAGGCACATGCAATTCACCGAGGTATAGATAAAAATTCTTTTAATACTGAGTCAACATCAAAGTTAGCCCATTGTGTGCTCGTTCTTTGCCCATGCCTGCACATTAGCCTGCGCCTAACATGTTAAGAGACAATTTTTGGTAAGCTACAAAGCAAGACTCCCCGTAGAAATGTTCATTTGGTCATAAAAACGTGCCCTGCAACAAAATTTTAAAATCGGACAACGAAAAGATGTGCCTTGAGGGGCCTAAAGTTCCGCATTTTCATGAAATTTTTCACAAATTGTTCAAAATTGTCTATAAGTCAGTGGGGAATTTAATATATTTTCCAAATTCCTCATACCTAATGGTTAGCTGCTATAACTGTTTGCGGACCGAGGAATGCCTGGTGTGAGCCAACTCTGGCCACATGGTCGCATATATCATTGCCAGGTTCTCCCGAGTGATTTGGCATCCAAAGTAAAGCAAGCCTGTTATGTTTACCAACACATTTTTTTTGAGACTTGCATTGCCGAACAAGGTTGGAAGTAGCAAGGGGGCTGAACAATGCCTTAAGTGCAGCGTGGCTGACACTGCACGTAAACTACTTCCCTCCAACTATTTTCCAACACGTAGCACATGACCTTGAGGATTGCAAATGCCTCAGCCTAGAAGACCGGAGCATATTACCCAAGATAAAAGTGATGGAAACCGGTTTCGCGAAAACGGTGTCAATCACCCTAGTAAATATGCAACGTAGGAGTGATATTTTCTATACATACCTAATTGTAAAAGCAGTAAAAGTAGGAGCAACTATAATACGGAAAAATGCTAAATTATAAAACTTAAAGGGCATATAAGTACTGTACATAGAGAAAAAACCAAAGGTTCACATAAATATTTTACTTACTTTAATGCCATGTACAAGTGTTCGTGTATTGCGCTTTTAGTTCGCTCTTGCTTCTAAACCGTTTTCAGCATTAACTACTTACTTATCTACTTAATTTTAGAAGAAGCTATTAAGTGCCAAAAGCAGCAACAGTTTGCTGTTTTCATTGCCACTTCGACCTACAAAATTCGAATTAATGGACAAGTTATAATTGGGCGAATACTTGAATGTGGTTAATGAAAGCAAAGTAAAACAGGGAATTGTAGGAATTAACAAAAGCGAATTAACAAAAGAAAATGAGCTCCTTTCATGCCGAGGTTTGTCCAAAATGGGGTGGCCTAAAATGTTAATTCAATTTGAAAATAATTGGTGGAAATTCAAATAATTGTGAGAGTGTGAGTTAGTACTAATTTTTTTTAATGGGCACTCGATTTTAATACCATCAATCAGGGGAAAATTTTACTTCTAAAAAAAACGCAATATGTACAATTCATGCTAAAAATTTGCTTATGGCTTTATTTGTTAATCTCTACATTCTAAATACATAAATGTATGAATATATGTATATTTATGGCTGAATTTTAAATTTTCCTGATCTGAAATTATGAGCAGCATAATGCACTTAAATTGCTGAAGGATAAAAAATCGGATTTGCTGGATATTACCCTTGGGTTTATTTTAAGGACGCCAAATCTATATACATATATAATACGCGAAGGCATTTTTTGTCCAGGATAAAAAAACTGCAACGTAGGCTCGATTTAAAAAAAAGGGATGTCAAATTAAAGGACCTGTAGATGTGCAAACTGGTTTTATTCTTTCGAAAAGAGTTGCCAGCTGTTGAACAATAAAATTCAAATTATTTAATAACACAGGCCTTTAAATTTTGTAGTTCAGGCCCTGGCACTAGCTTATACTTTTGTAAAGGTTTTCGTTGCGCTTAATCTCAATTCAAAATCTGTTTTGCTCTATTGGCTTAGGTTTATTGGCTTTAGGATATTTGTGCCTAAACATACGAAAAAATCCGATTTTTTGCTATATTCTTCATGTATTTTCATAAAGAATAGTTTGTTTTTTACAAAATTGAATAAATCATTTAAAAGAAAAATATTTCCCCTTGATAATGCTGTTTAACTCAACGAGATATCTTGTTTTAAACCTGAGATATTGTCCATTGAAGTTTATCAGTTTTGCGACATTACTTCTTTGCACAAATGCTTGAAAGATACAACACGAAAAGAAACAGATTTGTGGTATACGTTTAGGCGTCTTTACTTACATAATGAATTGCAGAGCCTGCCTGTTTATTTCGGAAGTAGCTCAGTATTTGGTTGAAGAACGCCCTATCTTAGATGCCGATTCAAAAACTCCCTATCCCAGCTTATTTTCACCGCTCTATTCTAACAGAGGCACAAAGCTTAGCTCATCACTGTTGTGATTTCAAGTGCGCCGAGAAATGTGTCACAAAAAATTCGATTTTGAGTGCTAGAAAAATACACAAAAATTAGAAAAATTGAATTGAAGCGGCATATTTTTTGAGCGGCAAGCTTTGAGGCGCGGTAGAAATCACAGCAGTGATGAGCTAAAGTTTGTGACTTTGTTAGAATACGGCTGTCAATGTATTTTCGTTTGAGATAGGGCGTTTTTGAACCGAATTCTGAGATAGGGTGTTTTTCAATAATATCCTGAAATAGGACGTTTGTAATCAAATTCTGATGTAGGGAGTTCTGGAAAAGTTTTCTGAGATAGGGCGTTTCGAACAGGCTGCCAAGATAGGGCGATCTTCCACTCAGCCATCGATCTGTTTTTGATTCTATTTATACCCGAGCGCACTTCTGCACAAGGGTATTACAATTTTGTTCACATAACGGTTATTTGTGATAGCCAGTATGAACCGAGATAGATATAGACAAATGTACATATACATAAATGATCAGAATGAAAAGAGAAGTCGATTAAGCCATGTCTGTCTGTCCGTCCGTGTACAAGATAACTCAAGCAAAAATTGAGATATTTCAACGAAATTCTGGTATGTAGATTTCCCAGGCAGGTTGGTATTGAATGGGCGAAATCGGACTGTAACCACGCCCACTTCGCATATAACGGTATTTTCGAGATATGCAAAAACTACGATATTTCAGTCAATATTCAATAGAAATTGGTATGTGAAGTGGAATTATGGTAAAAGCAAATATTATTATAAAATTTTTTGGAAACTGGGCGCGACCCCGCCCACTTATAATGAAATGATGTATCTCTGTAGCTGCTTCGGTGCGAGCCGTGGTTAGGGTCCAGCTAAGAAATCTGTTGAAAATCTTTGAAATCGGGCAATAACCACGCCCACCTCCCATATAACGGTCATTTACAGAAACACGAATTCACTCAAAATCGGCGGTTGCAATAATCACTTAGCGGAAAATTAGATTATTATAAATTTTTGGATTTTGGGCGTGGCTCCGCCCACTTATGACCACAAATATGTATCTCGGTAACCGATTCATCAAATTCAACTAAAATTGGTGCACCTTATAATCTTGGAACGGAAAAGCAGTTTGTTAAAAATTATTCAAATCGGACGTAAATTACGTATAACGGTAAATTTCAAAAATACGAAAACTCCGTTATTTGAAAAACAGAGTGCGCTTATTTACTTCACGTTAATACTTACAACAGTATCTTAACAATAAACAAGACTATTATAGACTTTTAGGAATTGGGCGCCCACTTTATGACTACAAAGGTCGATCACGGTAACCGCTTTATCGATTTCTACCAAAATTTATTCAATGATTTCATTAGGTCCGTATATTAAGAAAACGTTTGAAATCGGGGAAAAACACCCCTGCTTATCATGTAAAGGTAGTTGAGAGAAAGTTGATATTTGATAACTGCGCCGGGTATATAAAATTCGGTTTCGCTCGAACTTATACTTCTTTACTTGTTTTATAATAATTTTTACTTCTGCTGTAAAATAGAAAGTTTGTTGGTTATGGCCCTTGTGATGAATTAAGGTAACGATACAAAGTTTTAAAAAGCTTACCAGTCAAATGGGTTTAGTAGTTTTTGCTGCAACCCTTGCCGTACAGCCCCCATATTAGCAATTTTATATAAAAGTATATATATAAATAGATATATTTTTGAACAAATTTTATTAAAAATTCTTAACTAATGTATTGCAGCTCTTATTTAAAAGGTTTTTTTTTGCGCCGAATGTTGCAAATTTTGCTGTTGTTGTTTCGCTATTTTCTTTGTTGCAACTGTTTCTTTTTCTGCTTTTCTTGTTTATGCTGCTTGTCATGATTTCCTTGCTGACTACAATCCGCTGTTTGCGTCTGATCCATTTCCAAAGCTAAAGTTCCATCTCCAACATCCTTTTCAATACTTAATTTGGTAACTTTCTCCAGTTCTTTGATTGTCTGCATATATAATTTTTTCGCCAAAGCTATATCACGGCCCTGCAAGGACGATTGTGTTACTTCGCAATCACTAAAACAGCAAAAGTGTAAGAAAAAGAAACAAATAATTTATGAGCATTAGAATGAGCCACTACTACTTGCTGTAAGTTTGTAATAAATTCAAAAAAAGGATATTTTGCAGCAACTTGGATTACTGAATTATGCAATAGAACTGCAGTAAGTAACATATATGTACATGCAAGCTTGTGTACATACATACACATATGTATATAAGCGGTAGGAGACAATGACGTAGAAATTTAGTCACTTCTTCTGCCAGCATTGGTTACCTTGTACCGTAACCAGTTTTATGAATTTTTTGAGAAAAGATAAAAATTTTTACTGGTAAAAAAAAAATAATAAGTGCAATGCTTGCAGTGTCCCTGTAGGGAAAACACGAACTAGTGAACCAAATTTCTAGTTCAGTACTAGTTATTTTTCGACAAAAACGAATCAGTCCGATAGTAACTAGTTCCCCGCCAGTCCAAAAGCAGGAAATGTGGTACTTTCACAAAACAATATTATTTTAAATTTTAAAAGCAGGGACGGTAATCATTACGATTAAATTAATTTTAATCAGCATTGAATCATTAATTTTTGATTTTTATTTACTCGCTCAAAAATAATTATTATTATTGAGTTTTTTTTTTCGCTCAACGGAAATAATTATTATCTAATATTTATTTTTTCGATTACAAATAATGATTATTTTATGCTTTTAATTTTTTTCGCTCAGAGATAATTATTGTTTTTGAGTTTTATTTTTCCACTTAAAAATAATGATAATTTATAAAATTGAAAGGGCCATACAGACGTGAAAAGTTTGGGACTTATTCCCTAAAAAATAAAACTCAAATATTAATTATTATTTTTAATCTATATTGGTTAAACTGGTAAAATAAAAATTATTGTTAATTAAAGTCGGACGTATCAACAGAAATACGTGAGTATAGTTAAAATTGTTTACGACGATTACAACTTGTTCATTCTTTTAGTTAAAATACAAAAAAAATTATGATTATTTTCCGTCCTTGTTTAAAAATTCTAAAATTCTAATTTCTCAAATTATATATTTTGAATTTTACTATCTTTATTTCGAACCCTTCCATTCGCAAAGAATAAAAATAACCATTAACAATATTGTAGAATTTTCATTATAAATTTCGCCAGCGTCGTTATGCTTTCCAAAATGAAAACCGGCAGTACTTTTTCTAGACTACTTAACCCAAAAATCTCTGAGGTTCACCACCCGTAAATTTTTCAATAGAGAACCACGCTTTGAAAATAAAGAAGGGTAATGGGGGTGGCGGGCTGCCCACAACTTAATCTTAAAACCTCACCCTCTGGAGGCTTAAATTTTTGAGTAATTTATCGGGTTAGCCGCGATTCAAAAAAGGAACCCTCACCAGTCCAGTTCAGAACTATAGAAAAAGGGATGCAGAACGAACTAGATCACATCTGTCGAATTTGGAACTGGTTAGGACCTAGATCCAAAGGGATGCAACGGGGGACAATTGCCACTTCCTAGAACATCGCAATGTTAAATTCGCGAGTCGCTAGCATGCAAAGGTGAATTAACGCGTACTAGTCATGGTTCCGAACGCACTAGAACCGAACCAGTTCCGTACTAGTTCGTTTCCCTACAGGGATCTTATCAGATTCCGCATTAAACATTTTAATGCAATTTTATAAGATTTTCTCCTCATTGAAAAATTCTTAAATAAGCAATTAGATTTTGCTTCATTTTTCATTTAGTCAATACCAGACTACATAGTAGTTGAGTTCTAAACTATAAAATACTTCCAAGGCTTTCTACCACACACAAACCCACACCTTCTAAAATCATGTGTGTGACTTATACTCACTTGAAATATTCGCCGCTCACGTTCTTAAGCTTTGGATCGCTGGCTAGACGTATGGCGCATTGTGCTCCTTCAAATGGATTCTTCATGAACAGCCACATCCATGGGTAGGTCATCAATTTTACACTAATGGCGGACATTAGCGGCGAACTGCAACGAAATGAAACGAAACGAAATGAAATAAAATGAACGTGCTTAGGTTCAAATAAATGAAAATGGCTAACATACACCCCAACGTACAGTGGTCGAACAAATTACAGCCGCATCACATTTTCACAAGTTTTAACATAAATATTATTTTTTTTTTTAATTCTGGTTATTTTTTTCTTATAAAAATAAAGTTCATTATTTAAATCCAAGTTGCAAACTTTGTGCAATATTTAAAAAAAATTGGACAAACTTTCGTAAAAATTTCGAGCTTTCTTAATTAGATTTCCTAGATTCTGAGTTTAGAAAGATTCTGAGTATGCAGTTTTGCAGCCCATTGAATTCTAGTAGAATAAAGTACACTTGTCAAATGGCGAAAAATTTCTGTTAGAATTTTTATAGTCCCAACTGATTCAATAAAACTAATAAACACAATTTATTTTTATATAGAATAAAAAACACAAATATTCGACAAAATATAATTCTAAACAATAAGCAGTAATTTTTAACGATATGAAACTAGTACCGTCTTCTACTAGAATTCAATGGGCTGCAAAACAGTACACTCAGAATCTTCATAGGATATCAAATCAAAAAAGCTCGAAATTTTTACGAAGGCTTGTTGAGTTTTGTTTTTTAATATTGCACAAAGTTTGAAACTTGGATTTACATGGGTTTTTGTTAAAGAACGATGTTTCATAAAAAAAAATTAAATAACAAAATAATAATATGTTAAAACATGTGAAAATGTGATGCGGCTATAATTGTTTCGACCACTGTATGTTTGCAAATATACCTACTATATGTATCTGAGCATAACTAATTTACAGCAGTGTATTATGCACGTGTGAAATTTACAGCTACTTAAAAATGACAATGCCGCTACCAAAGCTCTTTTCAAGTTTTCTCCGCATATATTTTGAAGCGATATGCTCATAAATACTTAGGTGTGCATGCATACATATGTGCGCCAGTAGCCGGCTTGCCATCTTGCCACTTTCGGCCATAATGGTGTTGAGATAACAGTTGATTATCGGATTTTCGTACAAGTTGCACATATTTCACGCATTTTAAAAATATTTACATAAATATATTCGAATGCATCTTAGACTTAAACATTTTGAAAACCGAAATTTTTCAACTTTGCCAGATGAAACGAATGTTTTTTTTTATTTTGTTGCCGAATTTTTGTCTTGGAAACGTGGATTTTGATTTTCTGAAGCAAAAATGGGCAAATAATAAATTGAAAAGAAATAATTGATCTCAATTTGATTAAATCATTGGTTCTTAATCGGTGGTCCACGGACCACTAGTGGACCCTGGAGACACCTGAAGTGGTCCTCGAAGCCAACCAGCGGAACCGCTGTATTTTAATTTGCTACACTATGTACATGGCGCTTCAAAACTCATACAGCTCATAGTTCCATCGTCTGCGGTATTCGCCGTCGTCGTCGGTCTTAAATCTTCTTCTTCTGTGCTTCTGCGCCTTATACAAACAGGGCCTGGTGAGTTACTTATAGGGTGTGGTTTTCGTACGTCGAGAGAGGATTTTACTTCTGAATTGCCTACTCAGTCCAAAGTAGTACTTGTTGCCAAGAAAAATTCTGCTTTGGATTTCGATGCCGACATTATTATTGGTGTTAATGCTGGTTCCGAAGTAAACGAAATTATCTTCTTTCTCGAAATTATAAATGTCAACAGTGACGTGGGTGCCAAGGCGCGAATGCGCTATCTGTTTGTTTGATGACAGGAGAAATTCGTCTTGGCCTCGTTTTACTTCTTCATCCAACATGGAAATGGTAGAGTAGACTTCGCGGTATTTCTTACCGATGATATCGAGTTCATCGCCTTATGCCGGCAAATTGCAAGCTCTTCTAGTAAATTGTTCCTGAGCGGTTCAGTTCAGCAACTATTCATACAATACACTCGATAGGACCTTGTAACCTATGCTTAGAAGACTGATCCCGCGGTAGTTGGCGCGTATGTCGGTGTAGCCTTTCTTGTGAATTGGACAGAGCACACTTAAATTTCAGTCGTCGAGCATGCGTTCATCTGACCGTATTCTGCCTAAGAGCTGATGAATACACCTTATCAGCTCCTCGCCGCCGCTCAGCTGGGAGGCTGTCAGCTCTAGGAGATTTGAGCTCTTCGCACTCACATATTTTAGCCTCTCTTTTCTTATAGCGTCAAATACGCTTCGCTTACTTTTTCAGTTCCCTATAACCGTCCTACATGGCCCGCGTTGTGCCTGATCGGAGCGTGGACCTGTAGGCGGCACCTTCATTTATTTACAAGAAACAATTGGTGGTCCCTGGAAAGAGCGAAATTTTGTCAAATGGTCCGCCATCACTAATATATAGTTTAAGAACCACTGAATCAAATGAACTCCACCTTTTCTTAGCACTATCGGTCCACTTTCGATTTGGCTCTTCATTAATCCCCAATTTGCAATTTCATAGTTAAGGAAAGTGGGCAGCTCTGTGCACCAGTGTCTGCTGGCTTGCGGTTGTGACCAAAGTCATTCGCTCTCCATGTAGCCACTTCAAATCTGAAGTTTGCCTAATTAAATTTCAGTTTCGGCAAGTAATTAAAACGAGTTAATCACTTAAGTGCTTTGATCTGGCATTGTTCGGCATTGGTCTTGAAAAATCACGTGCCCACAAATACTTGGTTATCCGCCCATCCATATGAAAATATGTTTGTAAGTAAGTATGTAAAATATGCAGCCTTACAACTCAATGGTGTCAAAAATGAAATTTCGCCTTGAGCACATAACGCCAATTCTAATATTAAATGAACCTATTCTCGTATCCGGAAAAGTTCGCCACAGGCATTTCAATGTAATTAATGAAAGTTTTTGACAGGATTTGAAATTCGTGGTAGAATGTTCAAGGCGCTTGCTATTTTGTTAAAGCATTCTTGTCTTGAATGGCAACCACTCATAGTTTGATGTTAATAAATTGTATTTGAATATAATGTAGTTACATACAATATCAAAAATTAATCAGAAATATGAATACTTTAGCTAATATTGCGAATATATCTAGACAACATAAGAAGGAAAATTCTTTAAATATTTATATGTATGCATATACTTATCTGTTACCTTGTTTATATCTAAACAAGAACCCCATTAAAAACCCGATTTCACTCAACACATATTTTTTTCAAATATTTATTTATGACTGTTTTTATACACTCAGAAAAAAGTCAGGCAAATATATTCCTCTCAACACATGATTTGGTAACTATAAACAAATAATGTAACTATAACCAAATCATGTGGTGAGAAAAACATATTTAGTTGACGTAACTAAACTCTTTTCTCAGTGTACATACATAGCGCACTCGATGTATTTGGGGTTTTAGACTCGCTGAACTCGAATCCGAGGTCCGTTAACGTTAATTAAATTATGTTCCTCAAAAATTCAAATATTAAAAAAAGTTGGCAAAAGTTGGCTTTAATTGTGTGTGTGTGTGTGTGTAGCTTATATGTTAAGTAATAACAATGTCAATAGATTCTTGACAAAATTTGACTTAATTTTTTTTTAATTTTTTTTACCAAAGTATATCAAACAGCATTATCTGCTGCTTTTTTCGGAGTTGTTTCTTCTAAATAAAAGCGTGCTATGTGAAATACAAAAAAAATAAAAATAAAAAATAAAAAGTTTAAATTGGAAAAAATATAAATTGTTGCAACTTTCTTTCTTAGTAAATTTGTTTGCCTCTCTAAGCATTGATCCATCCTCTGCAAGACCCAGTAATCAGCGGTTGTGCTGCTGGGTTGGGAGAACGTTCCAAAAAGGTTTGACATGCAAATAGATTTTAACAATTTAGAATTTTTGTGAGAAGAAATTTAAAATATTTAACATTTTCGAGACCAAATAATTTGAAAAAAAATCAAATCAGCTGCTCTACTGATACTACCTGTCCAATGTGGCTTGATATTTACATCTTACTCATACTCATGGGCGTAGCCAGGTAGGGAAAGGGGGTGCTCGACGTAAGCAACTTTTAAAAAATTTTTTTTTTGATGCAGAAATCATCAGGGAATATTTCTGCATCAACAAGAACATTTTGAAAAAAACTGTCGCTTACGTTATTTTGGCGGTTAGGGCTCGTATTCATGTGGAAGTTTTTTTTTCAAAAAACGAAGCAATTAAAAACCATTTTTTGGAACGTTCGCTTAACTCAGGGACACAAACGCCAATCATTGTACCTTGCTATGGATGGATTGATGCTCCCGGGAGCAAAAAAGTACACGGAAAGAAAGTTGCTAAAATGTTTATTATTGCATTAAACGAGCAATTCTCGTATATATACATATATATATATATCCATAGACTTCTCGGAAACGACTCTAATGATATGGATGATATTTTGTACACAGGCTTTATCTCCGAGAAGACTCGTATAAGGTTGCCACCTATTCGAAATTAGTTATTAGTTAATTAAAACAGCATAGTATGGATATCAAATGGAAGGTATTTTAAAGATCCCTATTTAAAAAATATTTTTAATAGGGTTGCCACGTTTTTTGAATCGCATATTTATTTAATTTTTTGTTTAGAAAAAAAAAATTAAAATATTAATATTCATGGCTACCACAAGAAGGTTTTTAAACAATGCTTTCCCTATATACAAAATGTTATTCCTTAGGATTATAGTGTAAGGTTGCCACTTATTTTTAATTCTACACAATTTATCTAAACCATCGCAGTATGGATATCAAATGAAAGCTATTGTTGAGAACTTTGGCCCGAAGATATTTTCGATCAGGGTTGCCACGTACCAAGTATAATATTTACGATATTTATCTTTTCATTCACCTCAAAAAAATCATTTTTAAAGCGATAGTAACTTTCTTCCAGAAAATAGTGTATATAATTACACCATTTTCTAAGAAATTAACAATCATAGTATATACTTATTGCGGTAACAGATTGTGTTTCCTTACTAAATACGTGAGTAGATACAACCTTACTATTTAAGTACTACTTACA